GCGAGGTGGTCCAATGGAGCTCACTGGGTGGTTGCTGTCCGAGGAGGAGAGCGTCGCATAGGCTCTCCAATTTGCCATGTCTGGCCGACGCGCCAAAGCATTTCACGAGCAGAGAATCCCGACAATCAAGATACCTAATTATCATAATAGTTTTAAAAAAGTATTTTGTGTACGTCATGTATAGGCACTAAACTTGTAGGACTTCATGGATCTCTTCCTGATCCAAAGCTCTTCCTGGCTTTGTTCATCATCCTCAGACTGTGTTATTTCTTGCTCCAATGTCAAGATTACTATAAGCTTTCTCATTTAGAATGATCCACAGTCTGATATGCAGGCTTGGACTTATGAGCAAATGCTGCACATTCCAACACAGGCAAATACCACACAAACTGCAGCCAAAGGTTCCCTAGCGCCTTAAATGTGACCATAATTGTGACTGCAGCCTTATTGATGAAAACATTGTGATTTGTGCCCATACTGTTAGTGCTGGTGTTATGAAAGACAGAGAGAGCCCATTGTTCTGGCCTGTGTGTGTTTGTCTCAGAGATGATGACAGGAAGAATAGCTGAGGAACCAGATTCTGAAATGCCCTGTGAAGAGCTGGAATGTGACTGTGTGTGTACTATGTGTGTGTATGTTCGCGCGTGTGTGCATGCATGTGCATGTGAGTGTGAGTGTATGTGTTAGAAAAATAGTTGGAGAGAGAGAAAGAAAGAGACAAAGAAAGAAAGAAACAGTGAGGGGGATTGGGCTGCCTTTTTCCTGTCTGCATTCTCTCTTTCGTTTCTGTCTCTCTTTCCTCAGTCCTGGGGCTGGAAGTTGTAGGGGAGGGGGGTTGAGGGGGTAAGGGGGTGGGGCTGTAATTGTCTCAAGGTGTGGAGAGAACAGAGCAGGCTGAGATTGTGCAGCTACGCTCCCTGCTGTGTGTCACAGAGAAGTGTGTGTGTGTGTGTGTGTGTGTGTGTGTGTGTGTGTGTGTGCGTGCGTGCGTGCGTGTACGCGTGCGCGTATGTGCGTGTGTATGTGTGACATGTTGAAAGACAGGTAAAAATGTTGAGACTGAGAGAGGGAAACGTTTGGAGGGGGACACGGGGGAATGCTTACATGAACAAAGCAAAGGTGAAAAGGCAAAAAGAGGCCATAGCATTATGAAAAGAGGGACTTTTTTCTTGGAAGTTTCACTATTGTTCAGTTGACACTAAAACGTCCATAGTGAGAGAAAAGAGAGAGAAAAAGAGAGAAAAAATGCAACTGTACATGATCATAGTGGGGAAGATATTGACATAACAGTAAACTTGCAATAATACAATAAGGGAAAATCATTATGGATCATGAGAAACCGAAAAACAGAGCGATCAGAGGAAAAGTGAGCCAGGGAAAGAACAGAAACCATGGAAGGAGGGGAGGAGAAGGGCAGGAGAAGTTTGAAGGGGGGAGTTAGTGCCCCAGTGGGGGTTTCTTCCAGAGTTCATCCCTCTTGAACGAGGGAAGGAAAGGGAGGGGGGGTGAGGGGGTGGAGTTGACCGTATAGAGAGCGTATGAAGTATCCAAAGTCACGGCAGTTGAGTTGGCTTGTGGGGGAAAGCGTGGTTTTAATGTGGCTGAAGTAGCCAATAACCCCAGGGCTGGGCAAATCAACTGAATTGAATTAGAAAGGCAACACAAGCCAGATGAAGTGGGAAGAGAGATAATCTGAAAAAGTTGAAAACACAAACCAGGGAGGGAGAGAGAGAGAGAGAGAGAGAGAGAGAGAGAGAGAGAGAGAGAGAGAGAGAGAGAGAGAGAGAGAGAGAGACACAACGTCTCTATTCCTTTAAAACTTTTGTGAGTGTAAGTGTTTACTGTTTAGCAATGTAAACATGTTTCCCATGCCAATAAAGCCCTTTGAATTGAATTGAGAGAGAGAGAGATGAGATAGAGAGAGATGAGGTAGAGAGAGATACATGAGGTAGAGTGATAGAGATGAGGTAGAGAGATAGAGATGAGGTAGAGAGAGGCAAAAACACCAAATAGAAAAACATCAAATATTGCATGCATAGTAGAATTAGGCCGATACCCGCTAATTATCCAAATCCAGTAAAGAGCCGTTAAATTCGACAACCACCTAAAAGGAAGCGATTCACAAACCTTCCATAACAAAGCCATCACCTACAGAGAGATTAATCTGGAGAAGAGTCCCCTAAGCAAGCTGGTCCTGGGGCTCTGTTCACAAACACAAACAAACCCCACAGAGCCCCAGGACAGCAACACAATTAGACCCAACCCAATCATGAGAAAACAAAAAGATAATTACTTGACACAAAAAATGGAGCAAACTAGAATGCTATTTGGGCCTAAACAGAGATTACATAGTTACAGAATACCTGACCACTGTGACTGACCAAAAATTAAGGAAAGCTTTGACTATGTACAGACTCAGTGAGCATAGCCTTGCTATTGAGAGAGGCCGCCGTAGGCAGACCTGGCTCTCAAGAGAAGACAGGCTATGTGCACACTGCCCACAAAATGAAGTGGAAACTGAGCTGCACTTCCTAACCTCCTGCCAAATGTATGACCATATTAGAGACACATATTTCCCTCAGATTACACAGACCCACAAATAATTTGAAAACAAATCCAATTTTGATAAACTCCCACATCTATTGGGTGAAAGACCACAGTGTGCCATCACAGCAGCAAGATTTGTGACCTGTTGTCACAAGAAAAGGGCAATCATTGAAGAACAAACACCATTGTAAATACAACCCATATTTATGTTGATTTATTTTCCCTTTTGTGAGTGTAATGTTTACTGTTCATTTTTTATAGTTTATTTCACTTTTGTTTATTATCTATTTCACTTGCTTTGGCAATGTAAACATATGTTTCCCATGCCAATAAAGACCTTTGAATTGAATTGAATTGAGAGATGAGATAGAGATGAGGTAGAGAGATAGAGATGAGGTAGAGAGATAGAGATAAGGTAGAGAGATAGAGATGAGGTAGAGAGATATAGATGAGGTAGAGAGATAGAGATGAGGTAGAGAGATAGAGAGATGAGGTAGAGAGATAGAGATGAGGTAGAGAGATATAGATGAGGTAGAGAGATAAAGATGAGGTAGAGAGATAGAGATGAGGTAGAGAGTTATAGATGAGGTAGAGAGATAGAGATGAGGTAGAGAGATAGAGAGATGAGGTAGAGAGATAGAGATGAGGTAGAGAGATAGAGATGAGGTAGAGAGATATAGATGAGGTAGAGAGATAAAGCTAAGGTAGAGAGATAGAGATGAGGTAGAGAGATAGAGATGGTCAAGAGAAAATGATAGATAGACTGGAGAACACACTGTACACACAGCTGACAACAAGCTTGTGTTGATTTGTTAATGCATCACAGCTCTATAAGCATGTCCATTAGGGTCAGTGGCTGAGGCTTTGTCAGTAGAAGTTTTGTCTACGTTGCTGCTGTGGTTTTTGATGTGTTTGGTCAAGCTTTTTTTGTGTTTGAACCCGGTGACTGTGGTGTGCATGAAACTAGCACTGCGGTGCTGGATGCGGTTCAGTATACGGTCATTGAAATTACTGACTGTGAGGGAATTGAGAGGGAGCGAGACCAAGAGAGAGAGAGAGAGAGAGAGAGAGAGAGAGAGAGAGAGAGAGAGAGAGAGAGAGGAAAAGTGAAATGTACAGCGTGTACTAGTATGGGCAGCAATAACGTGATCTGAGACTCATTCCAATAAAAGCAGGATAGAATTAAGGAGGGGAGGGGTAGAATGAGAGGATGAGGAGAAAAGAGAGAGAGCTAAGGGAGAACGAGACTGTGTGTGTGTCTGTGTGTGTGTGTGTGTGTGTGTGTGTGTGTGTGTGTGTGTGTGTGTGTGTGTGTGTGTGTGTGTGTGCGTGCACATGTGTGCTCACATGCAAGTGTTTGCATATTTGTTTGCCCCCTGTTCCTCCCCATGGAGGCCTCTGGGTGGCGCCTCTGACTTTAACCATCACCCTACAGTCCCACATACAGTATATCACCATCAGAAATGTCCCACTTAATGCAAGCTAACAGTGTGGTATACTCAGTCTCAGCATTCATTTACAATAGGATGGTAGTCTTCTCTTAACATTGTGTGTTGACTCATTACATTTGCCCTCCCTTTGGGACACTATGAAGTGGCATTGGGGACACATAAATGACTTTGGTGTTTGAACCCTAAGAAGGGACGGGGGAGGCTCAAGTCTGTGTGGGAGGGAGGGAGAAGGGGGCTTTTCAATTGAGAAAGGAGTAGAGGAGGGGGGCTGAGAGAAAGAGAAAGAAAGAAAGGGAGGCATGGTGTTTGTTTTCATTTGTAAAATATGAAAAATGAAGAGGAGGGAGGGAAAGCAGAGGGAAAAAATAGGAGAGAACGTTTGTTATGAGACCAACCAGACTAATGGGCCCGCCCCCGGCTCTCTAGTTCCCTCCCTCCTTCTCTCCCCCCCCCCCCCCCCCTCTGCTGAGAGAACAGGCTGTTGGTTCGCTCCACAGTATCACTGGCTGTGTGTGTGTGAGAGGCCCAGAGAGCTGAGGAGAGGGGGGTGTTTAGATCAGTTACAACTCCCAATGAGAGACACCCAGAGAGTGGAGAGAGCGACTGATGACTGTGTGTGAGAGTTGGAAGTAGTCTGGAGCTCAAGAGAAGAGAGAAAGAGAAGACAAAAGGGAAAAAATCTGTTCAAGACCAATACACAGAGAGAGAGAAGCCAGTCAAGGACTTTATCAGAGTGGAACCAAGCAGAGGCTGAGACAGACACACAGCACCTGGAGAAGGTTCACCCCGACTGGGGCTGAGAGTGACAGAGGTCCACTCCTACAACAACCACAAGCCTGGAGAGCCAGTCATGCTCTGAGCTGCTCTTGTTTTGCTCTGGGTGGAAATTCCTCTGAGACGTCACTGCTAGCTAAGGTCAGCTGAACAACCACAACAGAAGAGGACTCTGGTGTTGTTGTGGTTGTTGGACAAAATAGTGTGTGTGGAGCTAGAGAGAGGAACATGTTTGACTGTATGGAGGCTCTAGGGATGGCCCCCCGGCCGCTCTTCGACGTGTCCATTCAGGGGGCTTGTATGCTGGGCAAGGCCACCCCCTTCTTCCCTGGTCTGGACCCCTTTGCCTGGGCTGGGACGGCCAGTGTTCAGTGTAAGTGAAGTATTTGCTCTGTCTCCTCACTAGACTCATCAGACTGGAAAAGCATGTGTGTGTGCTGTGTGTGTTTGTGCAGAGCCAGGGTTTTCACTCTCCTCATCAGACTGGTGGTGTTATTGTGATAATGCGGAAATAGTGACTATCTCAGTGTGCATGTGTGTCCTTATCAGAGTGCTGATGTTATCATAGAGCTCTCTCCACAGGAAGAGACAGATTCCATTCGATTCTCTGTGCCCTTTCTCATCCTCCAGTTTGTTTGTTTATGTGCTCAGTGTGTGTGTGGGGGACTGCATATTTATTCATCATCATGTTTGTTTTCTTTTTAAATGACTTCAGATGAATGATTTAGCTTTCTCTCACAATATGGGCCCCCTGACCTTGTGAGGTGTTTAGAAGCTAACTACCAAAGTCAAAATGAAAGTGGATCCTTAAGAGGGATCACAAGAGGCACAATGATGAAAGCATATGACCCATTTCAGTAGAGATATGGGTAACTGATGCAATGTGAATAACTAGGCCTACTTAAAAACATAATTAGCATCTAACTTAAAAGTTCATTTGAGGGCAAAACTGTTAATGAAGAATAACTAGAGCATGAATAAGTAGGACATTACAGCTTTACAGTAACAACTGAGGCCCTGGGCTGGAACAGGGCCCTGTCTCTCTCTCTTTTCCTAGAGGCTTTGCCACTTTACTAACACACATAATGCCTGTATGAGTGAGAAGGAGTAAAGAAAATAACTTGAGTTATTGTTATGCAGTCCATCTACCCTCACCACTGTATTTCATATGATAATAGCCTACTCTGGCACTGGCAACATGGTGTTTCTGGCATGCTCATTTGAATATAAAAGATGAGGGGGGCCTTGCTATTGCACTAAAATAACGTGTTCAGGCAGTGAAGACACACACAGGAAACTATTAGAGATGTTATATTTATCTATTTAATTCAGTTGGCCTACACAATTTTACGCAAGGCTTTGCCCCCTTAGTACCTTTTGTGTTGGTTGAATAATTGCGTCCCAGGCGAGTTCTACTTAATGGCAGTAGGCCTACACCGTGTGCTGGTTAGTTTCAGTTCTTCCAGGTGAAAGGCCTATATATCTTCATTAATCGTGAAGACACCAGGGTTTCAGGCGCTGTCAGCCCCACGGTGTTTCCCGTAATGAAGACGAATGAGCTGTCAGGGCGAGCGAGACCACAGCCGGTCTCAACTTGCTAAATACAATCGCCAACTTCTGAGGGGACAGGAGGACAACAAAAAACTACTACAATTGTATTGAACATCGAAACTATGGCCCTTTCTTTCTTCGGTAACAGTCTAGGTCCTATATTGTCCTGTCCTAAAGTGTCCTTATTACAGTGTAGGCTAATAACCTTTATGTAGCGCAAATGTGCATAGTGGCCATCATACCACTTTTTCATTTAAGAGAATTAGATTTATTTTCCCACGAACACTTTAAGTGAATTAAGTTCAGTTTATAAACAACTTTTCTCTGAACAGTTGGTTGCCTTCACAAAATAGTATCTGTTGTTAGGCAGTTTGAGAAAGAGACAAAGAGAAGGAGAAAACAGAATAGGCCTAAAGACCACAGAAATGTCCTTTGATAGGCGTGGATGGCCCCGTGCGGGGGAGAGAGAAAAGAGGGATCTAGAGTGTTGAGTGTTCATCTTTAGACCGGTGTTCTGTTTCCATCCTCTGTTCTCAATAACCTCTGTAAACATTGAGAGACAATAACTCGCGAAGAGGCGTAATTCACCCACTCTATTCACACTGGTTAGCCCTCATTGTTGCCAACAGACAGATGAGCTAGCAATGGCTTACCCTTACATTGCCAAACAAGGAAAGGTCGGACTAAAATCAAATTTAGGGAGTATGATAGCATAATAACCAGTAAGAGCTCATTCAAATGCTCAAAGAAGTGGGTATTTGTGGAGTGTGTTCAACCTGGACTCAGGGGTAGACATAACATAGTAAATGAAAATCCGGACACTCCAATTAGTATGATATGTTACGTTTCGTATGGAAACCTATGTATTAATTTGTGGATGTCCATCATCCATTTCGTATGATGTTACGATTTACAATTCGTACAATATGTTACAAATTTGCAAAACGTATGATATGTTACGAATTCCTATTTGTTTTGGCTAATGTTAGCTAGGTGGTTAGGAGTTAGGTTAAAGGGTTAGGGGAAGGGTTAGCTAACATTCTAAGTAGTTGTAAAGTAGCTAAAAAAGTAGTAAGTAGTTGCAAAAGTTGTCCGTGATGAGATTCGAACACGCAACTTTTGGGTTGCTAGTCGTTCGCATTATACGCCCACACCGACCAACCACCCACCTTACTTTCCTTTTTTGCCTTGAAGATGCTCCGCCATTTCCTGGTTGCTAAAATTCGGATAGTTCGCCTAATTTCAGTTTATGTGACAAAACAAACAAGTATAGTGTAAATGATCGGAGAGGTTGAGGGTAGCGGAAGTTCAGGAGTAAAAACAAACAAAATAGAATTATTATAAAATTGACTGTGTCCATAAAATGTATATAGTATGTATAAGCTGGAAGTAGAAGCCTAAGCGTTGTTGTTCACTAGTTTACTCCAATTAGGGGAGGGGTGGTTGGGTTGGAAAGTAATAAAGGGAAATATATTTAAAAAAGGGATATGTATATATATGTATGTATATGTATATGTATATGTATTTATATGTATGTATGTATATATTTGCGAGAAAAAAACCATATGGGGGATTGGAAGTGATGCAGACAATTACATTGATGGAAGTTACAATCTATCTGCAATATTAAAGCTGATCTACCCCCTAATTTATTTTTATTTTTTATTAATCATTGTACCATCACAACCGCTGTGAAATATATTTTCCATAAACAAAAATATTGTATTTTCAGCTGTTTGAAGCTGGTGTACAAAAACAAAAGTAAAATATGCAAAAGGGAAACTTAAAAATGGGAAGTATAGAAATAGCACACATAGAACAGCTCTACCGCTTCTTAGACTTGCTTTCAATGAGAATGACAGATCTATAACTCACATTTCTATGATTTGGTCATGCTAATTTGAGTGTTCTATATTTACGTTTACTATGTTAAGTCTAGTCTATGAGACCAGGCTGGTGTGTTTGATGTTTTAGTTTTTTTGCCCTTGGATGGTGAACTACAGCGTGTCATTGTTTAGCATTGACAGAAAGGTCAATGATAGATGACAGGCTTATCAACTACGAATGAGGCCATCACTTTTTCACAAAAAGACAACCCAAGCTCATATTGGTCTCTATTACTCTGACACACCGCATTGTGTTTTATCCAATTTGATAACGTAAATATTCTGAAGGCTGTAGGTCTGTCTCATATGACATCAGCAGAAAAAAACATTTGGCCTACAGGAGAGCACAACGTATCAGCACTAGTATCAACAACACAGCTAACCTATGAAGGATCCGCCAGGGGGTAGATTGGAATAGAGGCTCTGTCACAGTGTGGAACTTGGTCATGTTACTTCTCTAAATTCTCATAATCCGGGATAGGCATTCAGGGGGCCCTAGTGTGTGTGTGTGTGGCCAGCTTTCCTGTTTTCTGTTGTTTTTATGTGAGGCAGTTCAGGACCTCTCTACCTCCCTTGGTTTCAATGTCAGGCGTTATGGAGAGAGCACAGACAGGCCAAAGTCAGGACCTGTGTGTGTGTGTCCGTCTTTGCACACTGGTGGGCTTCCTAATAAAGAAAGAGAAAGGCATAATTTTAAACACAATTGAATAAAGTAGACATGGTATTGTACAATAATGAAAGCAATACCAATCAAGGACTATACATGCCATTATTTTGAGTTCTTATGAGTGTGCTGCTGTATATGTGTGTCCATCTCACTGAATCATGCATACAGTATCCCTCGGATCTTGTGTCTTGTCAGAATACGTCAACATCATTTGTTTGCCTTTAATCAAGGCCTTTAATTATTCAATTATAATTACAAAAGGCTCAATTAAGAGATTAGACTGCCTGCAGGGACGGGGCCGCAAGAAGAGATGGATGAAAGGGGGTTTGATTAGGGATTAACATTTACCCCCTACAATTCCATCCCTTCTTCTGTACTCAGGGGGTTTCATCCTTTCATCAGAGAATATGCCAGCGTGTTTTCTGTGGGAGTGATAAAACTAATCCCCTGTCTCTCTCTGCTTCTCTCCTCTCTGCCCTTGATGTCTTATTCACTACCAGCTTGAAGGTCATATGGCCACATTATACGTGTCATGACTATGTTAGGAAGCTCAGGTGAAATAGGATTAAATGATAGTTTGTCTTAAATGCTATGCCTTCAGGATGAAACAATATGGTTACAGATTAACTGCAAGGTGAGAATATTTCTCTATGAGAAATTGGAGAGGGAGGATGAAATCTACATTGCAGTATGTACAGTAATACATCAGCATAAACATACTTTTTTCATGGTCAAATAAAAATAGAAAATACTTCTACACTCCTCACAGGTATATGTTTTTAGTTTCCATAATAAGACATGTATGCATAAAGGCAGCAGTTTGTAAAGTAAGAATTTACACAAACATACTAGGGCCAGTTTGATTGAATATGTCTAAGACAAGGATAGGGAGACAGAGTGAAATACTATTTGTGAGGTAGATGGTAGCTGAGAGGGTTTAGAGGGAGAGTGAGAGAGAATATATCCCAAAGACGGTGTGTTTGCGTCTGCGGTGTGTGTGCTTTTGTGTGTCTGTCTCAGCGCTCAGACGGCCGTCCCTGTTTGTGCCTGCGCAGATTTCACAGGCCCCTGATGGAATTCGGTAATAGCATTTTATTGCCTGTCTTCAGTGGGCGAGGGAACACAGTAAATAATATCGGCTGTCCATGGTGCGTCCACTCCTATGGATCCTACACAGTGTCCTGGGACGCCTCTGGGCTGGCTTTCCCATAGTGCCATTGGGCCAGGGCATGGGAGAAGGACCCAGTCAACCCTACCTTTTGTATTAGTCTGTTATTGTTTTCCAAAGTCAGAGAACCACTCATTTACATAATATAAAGATTTTCTACATTATATGTATTTTGTACATGATCAGACTGTCGTCAGGCACCTCTCTATGGTTTCTCCTAGATAGACATAGAATGGTTGTAGATGACGTGACGTGACGCCTCAGGACTACCTGTGTGTGTTAGTGTATGGTCTGTCTGTCTGTCTCTGGGAGTGTGTATGTATCTAAGTTTGGGATCCGACCCCAGAGGAAGTGGGGATCCTGTCTTCCTGTGGCAGGGCAATGCTGAGCAGAGCACCAGTAAGTAGCTAGTCAACTGATTGCTACTCTTCAGACAAAAATAAGCTGTGCCAAGCTGAAGCTTGAGTTACTGTTTGAGTTATTAGCTGAGTCCTATTCAGATGTGCTAAACTGGCCGACCACACAAAAGGGATTGATTTTAAGTGACTGATTAGTTGATTGATATATTGATGATTGATACATTGATTTACTGGTTGAGAATCTTGGTCTTAAAGTGCTAGGTTGTTTGGATACTCAAACCTCGCTCAGTCAGATGAGTGCTTTAGTAATTGCGGTGACTGAACCACTTGTACTGCACTAGGATTAGTGGTTCTTGACAGTAATGACAAATTGTTTCCCAATTTCAGTGTAACTCAAACAATCTTGTAAGTAATGGGATTAGCTTGGTAGAGTTATTGAAAAGCAGTTACTGTAGCATGAGGAAGCAGCCAGGCAGCACTGTAGTGCCTCACCTGTTGTAATGAATAGTATTTTCCATCTAGTCTTGTTCCAGCTTGTCTCACACTCTGTCATTCCCCTCTTTATTGTGTCATAACAGTCTCTCCCATACATGGCCACAACACATTGACTTCAATGGTTGAATGTTTGGAAACAATGGGAACATTTGGGAGTGTGTGTGTGTACAGTTGAAGTCGGAAGTTTACATACACCTTAGCCAAATACATTTAAACTCAGTTTTTCACAATTCCTGACATTTAATCCTAGTAAAAATTCCCTGTCTTAGGTCAGTTAGGATCACCACTTTATTTAAGAATGTGAAATGTCAGAATAATAGTAGAGAGAATTATTTATTTCATCTTTTATTTCTTTCATCACATTCCCAGTGGGTCAGAAGTTTACATACACTCAATTAGTATTTGGTAGCATTGCCTTTAAATTGTTTAACATGGGTCAAATGTTTCGGGTAGCCTTCCAGAAGCTTCCCACAATAAGTTGGGTGAATTTTGGCCCATTCCTCTTGACAGAGCTGGTGTAACTGAGTCAGGTTTGTAGGCCTCCTTGCTCGCACACGCTTTTTCAGTTCTGCCCACAAATGTTCTATAGGATTGAGGTCAGGGCTTTGTGATGGCCACTCCAATACCTTGACTTTGTTGTCCTTAAGCCATTTTGCCACAACTTTGGAAGTATGCTTGGGGTCATTGTCCATTTGGAAGAGCCATTTGCGACCAAGCTTTAACTTCCTGACTGATGTCTTGAGATGTTGTTTCAATATAGCCACATAATTTTCCTTCCTCATGATGCCATCTATTTTGTGAAGTGCACCAGTCCCTCCTGCAGCAAAGCACCCCCACAGCATGATGCTGCCACCCCGTGCTTCACGGTTGAGATGGTGTTCTCCGGCTAGCAAGCATCCCCCTTTTTCCTCCAAACATAACGATGGTCATTATGGCCAAACAGTTCTATTTTTGTTTCATCAGACCAGAGGACATTTCACCAAAAAGTACGATCTTTGTCCCCATGTGCAGTTGCAAACTGTAGTCTGGCTTTTTATGGCGGTTTTGGAGCAGTGGCTTCTTCCTTGCTGAGCGGCCTTTCAGGTTATGTTGATATAGGACTCGTTTTACTGTGGATATAGATACTTTTGTACCTGTTTCCTCCAGCATCTTCACAAGGTCCATTGCTGTTCTTCTGGGATTGATTTGCACTTTTCGCACCAAAGTACGTTCATGTCTAGGAGACAGAACGTGTCTCCTTCCTGAGCGGTATGACGGCTGCGTGGTCCCATGGTGTTTATACTTGCGTACTATTATTTGTACAGATGAACGTGGTACCTTCAGGTGTTTGGAAATTGCTCCCAAGGATGAACCAGACTTGTGGAGGTCTACAATTTTGTTTCTGAGGTCTTGGCTGATTTCTTTTGATTTTTCCATGATGTCAAGCAAAGAGGCACTGAGTTTGAAGGTAGGCCTTCAAATACATCCACAGGTACACCTCCAATTGACTCAAATGATGTAAATTAGCCTATCAGAAGCTTCTAAAGCCATTTTCTGGAATTTTCCAAGCTGTTTAAAGGCACAGTCAACTTAGTGTATGTAAACTTCTGACCCACTGGAAATAAGATACAGTGAATTATAAGTGAAATAATCTGTCTGTAAACAATTGTTGGAAAATGTACTTGTGTCATGCACAAAGTAGATGTCCAAACCGACTTGCCAAAACTATAGTTTGTTAACAAGAAATTTGTGGAGTGGTTGAAAAACGAGTTTTAATGACTCCAACCTAAGTGTATGTAAACTTCCGACTTCAACTGTAGGTCTATGTGTGTTTTTGTCTCAGTGTTGTTGTTCATCAAGGTGGGATTAGGAAGGCATGGCTGTTTGAAGCATAGTGTTGGTCGTCTGACAGGAAAGTGTTGTGCGGAAAGTAGGGGTAGTTGGTGAGTAGGGGAGATGAGGAGATGAGGGGTGGCCAAATGTTGACTCCTTTTCATCAAAAAAGGGGTGAAATAAAAAGGTAGCTTTATGAGGTGTTGTAAAGAAGAAAGGCTGCTTTGTATGCAGGCCAGTGAATGTGAGGGGCAATCCTGATTTAACAACCGTCCCTAAAAAAGAACCCCCCTTCACAGAGAAACCATGCTTTCCTGTCCATCTCTGTTAGGAGAAAAACACATGGGAGTAAATATTGCATAAAACACTGCAGTGGTATTTATAGAGTGAACATATACGAAAGTCAGTACAGATGTAGGATCTTAATTTGAGCCATTCTGCTAAAAATATTCCTGCAGCAACTGGAAATATTAAGTATTATGTGGGTTATAATTAATGGACATTTTTGTAGGGGTCAAGTCTGAAATTTCAAGTCTGACATTTCAAAGTGGAAATTACAAACTTCAGAAGCCTTTTTAAACCTCAAATACACCACAAGTTGTACATTTCCTGAAAGTTCCCTGCAACAGGATGATCAAATTAAGATCCTACATCTGTAGGTGAATTTGCAGCATTACTCTCCACATAATCTGTGTGTGTGTGTATGTGTGTTTGCTGTATAGTCCACGGCTGTGTGTTGTTCTAGTAAGGGTGTGATAATTCCTCTCTGATTGTGTGTGTGCATGCATGAGCTGGTGTGTGCTCATGTGTTTGTGTGTGTGACCCCCTCTTGCCTGTGTGTTTGGTGTTGCTGTTTTTATGGAGCCATCTCCTGGATGGTAGCCTGGTTTTATCACAGGCTTTCCTTTCAAAGAGGCTCCCAATGACAGGAAGGACTCCTCCTCCCAACAGGGCAGGAAGGCAGAAGGGGGGAGAGAGGGAGGGAGGGATATGGGACAGGCCAGGGCGGGGCGGGGGAAGGGTGGTGAGGGAGGATGGGTTGTGTAGGTATTGAACTTAAGACAGCTGATGAAAGGAAGTGCCATTGCTTCACATTTTGGACTGAAATCTCTTCAACCATAACCCCCCCCCCCACCCTCCCCCCACACACACACACACACGCACACACATATACACGCACTCAGCATATCCTCTCCTGGGGTTCAGGCCTATCTCTTCCCTATAGGTTATCTGTAAACATAGGCCTATCTGTAATAGTGAACTAGTACTTTCAACACCACGGTACAGATACAACTCTAGAACCATCCATTAAATCAGTTCAGACATTCATAAATTTGCCCACAGCATGCTCATTTCAAAGTCTGAGTGGTCATGGTGGACATATAAATTTGAAGACACACATGGGAATTGTTTTCCTGTTTCTTGGTATATACAGGATGGGATGAGTTAATGTAGTCTCCATTTTCTCCTTCTGATCAGGCTTAAGGTGGTGTGCGTGTCAGTGGAGGCTGCTGAGGGGATGATGGCTCATAATAATGGTTGGAATGGAGTATAATGGTTGGAATGGAGTGAATGGAATGGTATCAAACAGATGAAAACCATGTGTTTGATGCCATTCAATTTACTCCATTCTGGCCATTATTATGAGCCATTCTCCCCTTAGCAGCCTCCTCTGCGGTGCATGTGTGTTGTTCCAACATACTGTATGTGTTGTTACCCTATTTCACACTGAAAGTCACACTGAAAGTCACACTGAAAGTCACACTGAAAACCGCCACACACATTCCAACATGTTCATAAGCTGAAACAAGCCTACACTCACACACATTCACACACACACACACACACACATTCCACAGCACACTCCAGAACATTTTGTGAGGCGAGAAGTTATGTAAAAAAAAAATTTGCTAACCAAATTAGTCTTTGGAGACCTGATAACGCCATACTGTAGATTGGAGCACGGGCAATTTAAAACTGAATGCCTACAGTCATGTACCGAGATTCCATTATGTTGGCACTACATACATTTGTGCAGAAAGTCATCTCTATAAAATGCCATCTCATATCGATCATTAGAACTAGATAAAGCCATGTGACCTGACCAGGAAAAATGACTATTACGTTATTGCCAGGTATCACTAGGACATGGAGTTTTTCCTTGTCAGATCCCTGGGTCAGGAAAACTACTGCCCCTAGAACTATTTTGTTCATAATCCAAAATGTTCCTCTTGTAAGGACTACTAGAGAAAATACAAGAGAGGCAAACGTAGACAAAATCACAGGATACTCCATAGTATTAATGGTGCCGGAGGAGATGGCTTCCGTTTTACAAGCTCCTAACCAATTGTGCTATTATGTGTGTTTTTTTACGTTATTTGTAACTTATTTTGTACATAATGTTTCTGCCACCGTCTCTTACGACCGAAAAGAGCTTATGGATATTAGGACAGCGATTACTCACCTCGTACTGGACGAAGATTTTTTCTTCAACGTGTCGGACGCGAAGGATTTACTTCAGACACCCGACAAGGCCCAAATCCCCGTCATTCGCAGGAGAAAGAGACAGAGATATCGGGGATGTAGGTCGGGGTGCCTTGTGAGCATCCGACGGCGAGTGGGTAATCTGCCTCTTCCATCAGTCATATTAGCCAACGTACAATCATTGGATAACAAAATTGACGAGCTACGATCATGAATATCCTACCAACGGGACATTAAAAACAGTAATATCTTATGTTTCACCGAGTCGTGGCTGAACGACGACATGGATAACATACAACGGCCTCCGGTAAGACAAGGGTGGCGGTCTGTGTATATTTGTAAACAACAGCTGGTGCACGAAATCTAATATTAAGGAAGTCTCGAGGTTTTGCTCGCCTGAGGTAGAGTATATCATGATAAGCTGTAGACCACACTATTTACCAAGAGAGTTTTCATCTATATTTTTCGTAGCTGTCTATTTACCACCATACAAACCTATGCTGGCACTAAGACCGCAGTCAATGAGCTGTATAAAGCCATAAGCAAACACAGGAAAACATTCATCCAGAGGCGGCACTCCTAGTGGCCAGGGACTTTAATGCAGGGAAACTTAAATCAGTTTTACCTCATTTCTACCAGCATGTTAAATGTGCAACCAGAGGGAAAAAACTCTAGACCACCTTTACTCCACACACAGAGACGCGTACAAAAGTACATACCCCAACCAGAAGCCATGGATTACAGGCAACATCCGCACTGAGCTAAAGGGTAGAGCTGCCGCTTTTAAGGAGCGGGACTCTAACCCGGACGCTTATAAAAAATCCCCCTATGCCCTCTGACGAACCATCAAACAGGCAAAGCTTCAATACAGGAGTAAGATTGAATCGTACTACACCGGCTCCAATGCTCGTCGGATGTGGCAGGGTTTGCAAACTATTACAGACTACAAAGGGAAGCACGGCCGCGAGCTGCCCAGTGACACGAGCCTACCAGACGAGCTAAATCACTTCTATGCTCGCTTCGAGGCAAGCAACACTGACGCATGCATGAGAGCATTAGCTGTTCCGGACGACTGTGTGATCACGCTCTCCGTAGCCGATGTGAGTAAGACCTTTAAACAGGTCAACATTCACAAGGCCGCAGGGCCAGACAGATTACCAGGACGTGTAGTCCGAGCATGCGCTGACCAACTGGCAAGTGTCTTCACTGACATTTTCAACCTGTCCCTGACTGAGTCTGTAATACCAACATGTTTCAAGCAGACCACCATAGTCCCTTTGCCCAAGAACACTAAGGTAACCTGCCTAAATGACTATAGACCGGTAGCACTACGTCTGTAGCCATGAAGTGCTTTGAAAGGCTGGTCATGGCTCACATCAACACCATTATCCCAGAAACACTAGACCCACTACAATTTGCATACCGCCCCAACAGATCCAAAGATGATGCAATCTCTATTGCACTCCACACTGCCCTTTCCCACCTACGTGAGAATGCTATTCATTGACTACAGCGCAGCATTCAACCCCATAGTGCCCTCAAAGCTCATCACTAAGCTAAGGACCCTGGGACTAAACACCTCCCTCTGCAACTGGATCCTGGACTTCCTGACGGGCCGCCCCCAGGTGGTTAGGGTAGGTAACAACACATCTGCCACGCTGATCGTCAACACAGGGGCCCCTCAGGGGTGCGTGCTCAGTCCCCTCCTGTACTCCCTGTTCACCCATGACTGCATGGCCAGGCACGACTCCAACACCATCATTAAGTTTGCCGACGACACAACGGTGGTAGGCCTGATCACCGACAACGATGAGACAGCCTATAGGGAGGAGGTCAGAGACCTGGCCATGTGGTGCCAGGATAACAACCACTCCCTCAATGTGATCAAGACAAAGGAGATGATTGTGGACTACAGGAAAAGAAGGACCGAGCACGAACCCATTCTCATCGACGGGGCTGTAGTGGAGTAGGTTGAGAGCTTCAAGTTCCTTGGTGTCCACATCACCAACAAACTATCATGGTCCAAACACACCAAGACAGTCGTGAAGAGGGCACGACAAAGCCTATTCCCCCTCAGGAGACTGAAAAGATTTGGCATTGGTCCTCAGATCCTCAAAATGTTCTATAGCTGCACCTAGAGAGCATCCTGACTAGTTGCATCACTGCCTGGTATGGCAACTGCTCGGCCTCCGACCGCAAGGCACTACAGAGGGTAGTGTGTACGGCCCCGTACATCACTAGGGCCAAGCTTCCTGACATCCAGGACCTCTATACCAGGCGATGTCAGAGGAAGGCCCTAAAAATTGTGAAAGACTCCAGCCACCCTAGTCATAGACTGTTCTCGCTGCTACTGCATGGCAAGTGGTACCAGAGCACCAAGTCAGCTAATCAAATGGCTACCTGAACTATTTGCATTGTCCCCCCCTTTGGATAAAAGCGTCTGCTAAATGGCATATTATATTTGATTTGAGTAACATCCCATGGAGAGGGTCTGTCAGCCCCCCAGGCTGACTGAAGCTCACCCCTGAGACGTCTGAGCTGCACCTCAAGCGATGCGCTACACTCTGTCGCCCACAGCGAATGAAAGGAGCCCTTCATCACAGCATACATTCAACACGCTACACTGTGTGCGTGTGGGCGCGTGCTGGATATGAAAACACATTTCTCACCGCTGAGATCCATGTGACATATGACATATGGGTGAAAAGTTTGCATAAGGTCTTGACTAAAGCTTCTTCATGGTTCGCCTGTTGTAGCAATCAAACTGTTCTAACATACGCTATAGCCTACACTGACAAATTGTTTTTAATTGTGTAACTGACAAGCCTGTATCTACAATGAGGTTCATTCAGACATGTAATAAGTTTCATAAGTCAAGAGAACTCTGTAATTACGTGAAAAGTTGGCATGGCCTCACATGGCTAGCTATTACAGCCTCAAGCCACAGCTGTAATAGCTAGCAGCTGTAGAGCGAGTTAAGACAGACCTATGCTGCATGGTTGAAAGACAGACAGAGAGAAAGAGGGGGATAGATGGGGGAGAGTGTGAAGGCCAATCGACGGTAGTGGTGCATGTATAAGTGACAGAGGGGGATTATGAAGACTCGCTCCCTCCCCTGCACAAAGAAGCCATGCAGAGACTGAGGGGATTAGGAGTAAAATGATACGGAATGGTGATGGCTCTGCTGTACCTGCCCTCCCCACCCACACCCACCATCACCCCCACCCCTCCTCAGAGCCCAGGCTGACACACGGCACTCAGGATGGGGATTGTCATGCTAATTGCGTCCCAGGCTTCTGGGGGCTGAGAAGGAAGGCCTCAGGTTTCACAGGAGCTTTTGTTTTCTAAACAGTGATGTGTCGAGCTGAGACACACTGAAGGAGAAGCAGAGAGAGAGAAAGAGGGAGTGAGAGAGCGAGAAAGCAAGAGGGAGAGAAAGAGAGTGGGAGTGCGAGAGAGAGAGAGAAAGAGAGAGATGTGTAGAGCTGAGGAGACACACTGAAGGAGAAGCAGAGAGAAAGTGGGAGCGAGAGAGAGCGAAAGCAAGAGGGAGAGAAAGAAGGTGAGAGCAAGAGAGAGAGAAAGAGCAAACTGCAGGCAACTAAAGCACCAGGGTAGACACAGACCCACTTTTGCACAAAGTGAAAAGGTGGAAGAAGGAAGGTAGAGAGGGATAAACAAGGATGGAGAGAGGGAGGTGGGCGAGAGAGGAATAAAGCGAGATAGAGGGAGTTGTGAGGGGTGGAGCTGGTCTAATTGCTTGTCTGGGGGTAGTCCTATGGATGTGTGCTGATTGATGTAGTGACGCTGTGAGGTGAGCCGTGGGTGAAGAGAGAGACAGAAGGAGAGAGAGAGGGGCGTTTTTTCAGGCTGAGGCTCAGAGGCTGGGCTCAGTTCAGGGTGATGACAGATCCTGACAGATTCAGGCCCCCTCTCTCTCTGTCTCTTCCAGCCAGGTGGAGCTGGGATTGTCCCTATCTATTTCTCTGTGTTCTCCTGTTCTCCCTCACTCGTGTCCTTCTATGCCCCTTCCTCTTTCTCTGTCTCCCTCGCTCCCTTTATCTTGTGTCCTTCTGTCTTCTCCCCCTTTTCTCTCTCCCTCTCTCCACCTCTCCCCCTCTCTCCACCTCTCCCCCCTCTGTTCAGACATTGTCAGTCACTACCTCTCCCCTGGCGCCACATGCAGCTCCTCCTTTTCAATAGGAGTCTTTTTTCAAGGCATTTCTTTCATTGTCAGTGTTACTACATAAACAGAAAACAGCACTCCGGTTACAGTGTCCCTCACTCAGCACCAACCCACTCCCCACGACCCTACTACCTCCACTACCTGCCTCTACTGACAGCATGGGTGTCCCAAAAGGCACCCTATTCCCTATGTAGTGCACTAATTCCCTATGACCATAGGAGCAACAGTTGAAGTAGTGGTAGCATCCCAAATATGCTATTGGTTGTAGTGTTGATGGTAGTAAGATGTTGGGTTACCGATAGTGGTAGTGGTATTGGTAGTGGTTTTAGGCTATTGGTCTAGTAGTAGTACTATTGGTAGCTAGTACTAATGGTAGTGGTGGTAGTAGACTGTTAGGCTATTGGTAGCTACTACTTATGGTATTTGTATTTGTATTTATTATGGATCCCCATTAGCTGCTGACAAGACAACAACTACTCTTCCTGGGGTCCAGAAAAATTAAGGAAGTTAGACCATTTTTAAAAAACAGTTTTTAAAATCTGATTCTACTGCTTGCATCAGTTACCTGATGTGGAATAGTCATGGCTCTATGTAGTACTGTGCGCCTCCCATAGTCTGTGGACTTGGGGACTGTGAAGAGACCTCTGGTGGTGTGTCTTGTGGGGTATGCATGAGTGTCCGAGCTGTGTGCCAGTAGTTCAGACAGACAGCTCGGTGCATTCAACATGTCAATACCTCTCACAAATACAAGTAGTGATGAAGTCAATCTCTCCTCCACTTTGAGCCAGGAGAGATTGACATGCATATTATTAATGTTAGCTTTCTGTGTACATCCAAGGGACAGCCATGCTGCCCGGTTCTGAGCCAATTGCAATTTCCCTAAGTCCCTCTTTGTAGCACCTGACCACACAACTGAACAGTAGTCCAGGTGTGACAAAACCAGGGCCTGTAGGACCTGCCTTGTTGATAGTGCTGTTAAGAATGCAGAGAAGCGCTTTATTATGGACAGACTTCTCCCCATTTTAGCTACTGTTGTATCAATATGTTTTGACCATGACAGTTTACAATCCAGGGTTACTCCAAGCAGTTTAGTCACCTCAACTTGCTCCATTTCCACATCATTTATTACAAGATTTAGTTGAGGTTTAGGGTTTAATAAATGATGTGTCCCAAATACAATGCTTTTTGAAATATTTAGGACTAACTTATTCCTTGCCACCCATTCTGAAACTAACTGCAGCTCTTTATTAAGTGTTGCAGTCATTTCAGTCGCTGTAGTAGCTGACGTGTATAGTGTTGAGTCATCAGCATACATAGACACACTGGCATTACTCAAAGCCAGTGGAATGTCGTTAGTAAAGATTGAAAAAATAAAGGGGCCTAGACAGCTGCCCTGGGGAATTCCTGATTCTACCTGGATTATATTGGAGAGGCTTCCATTAACCTTTTCACATGTGAGTTCCAAATATCTCTAACGGTCGCCCCAGCGTGAGTTGTTTTATGCACGTAATGTTCCAAATTGTGATTGTTACGCAACAGGACAGTTAACACACAGTTATCACACAGTTATCTATAGGCTATGTTTCAACTTGTCAATTTCAAATTATTTTTTAACAAGTTTTATTTTCTAACAGTTTGAATTGAAGTGTGTTCCGCCTCCTCATTAATTCACATAGAAGTATCCCATTTCACTGTTGCGGACAATTTATGTTTGAGGCTTTACTGAGCTGGATAAACTTCTCTCCTTGAGGAGAGCCCAAGCACTTCCCCAGTGTTTCCGCAGATCAAGTATGCAGACATTTGCACAGTCTTGCACGAACTGGCACATTTTCTGGCTGGTGCTCGCATTGCATTCATTGTTGTTTTCCTTACAAATAATAATATTGGACATGTGCGTACCTTTCAAAGTAAGTGCCTTATTTTCTGTATATTGTGTTGTTGTTTCTACTGTAGCATACAGTATGTATGTATGGATGTTACGAACCGGCTCGTAGACCGTAACAAAGAGGGAGACAACGCGGAGATAAAGAAATAACAAACATATTTATTAAATAAAGTAAACTATATCCAAGTAACAATGGTGTGTGTAGTCAGTAGTGTAAGTGAGTGGATGCGTGCATAGATGGTGATAATGAGGGGTGTTGAGAGGTGCCAAAACAAATGAACACAAAGAAGCCCCAAAATGCCACAACCAAACACAACAGTGTGTCTGCGTGGAGAGAGTCTCCTCGATGTATGGGGGAAAGGTGTTTTTATCCCCGGGACACACCCACCCAGGTGTGTCCCATTTTGCTGACGACCCTCCCAGCTCCGCCCACCGACATCCTATAAAGGAAAACAAGAGCAGAGGGAAATCATTTGGCAGACAGAGTTAAAGGGTAGTCACAATGGAGCATAATGTATTTACAGTTTTCAAGTACTGGTGAGAAATAATGCATTCCAATTAGTGCATAGATTGTAATGGACACCTATGATGTGTGTAAAATACTATTTTGAAGGTTATACTGATTATGATGAGCTAATGCTAAGCTATTTGTCAGCTATGTGTGGCACCATGTTTGTTGACATTATACAATGCATTCTGTAATTGCTATTAGCTAAATCATATTGTGGTTTCTGTCAGCCGAGAGTTAGCTAAATATGACCTTTTGTTAAGCCAATCTTTCCTAAGTTAGCGCTAGGTCTAATGTAGCCTACATTTTCCGGTTTGGATGATTGTGTTATGCTGTTGCTACTTCTGTGAATGTCTGAACATTGCATCCAGAAATAAACTGGTCACATTCATGACCTAACTTTGTGAGGACTGTGTTTGTGCAAAATGTTTCTGTGAAAAAACAGTGTGGGCAGCTCAAACACTGACTGTTTTAAGTAAGCGTTCTAATCACACCGGTTTGAGCGTACACTGCAGGGACCACTATAGAATAATCACAGCCGTTTGTTGGTATGTGTCAAAGGGTTAAAGAACACCCTCTGTGTTCTGTTAGACAGGTAGCTCTTTATGCACAATATAGCAGGGGGTGTAAAGCCATAACGCATACATTTTTCCAGCAGCAGACTATGATCGATAATGTCAAAAGCCGCACTGAAGTCTAACAAAACAACCCCCACAATCTTTTTATCATCAATTTCTCTCAGCCAATCATCAGTCATTTGTGTAAGTGCTGTGCTTATTGAATGTCCTTCGCTATAAGCATGCTGAAAGTCTGTTGTCAATTTGTTTACTGTAAAATAGCATTGTCAAACACAATTTTTTCCAAAAGTTTACTAAGGGTTGGTAACAGGCTGATTGGTTGGCTATTTGAGCCAGTAAAGGGGGCTTTACTATTCTTGGGTAGCGGAATGACTTTTGCTTCCCTCCAGGCCTGAGGGCACACACGTTCTAGTAGGCTTAAATGTATATGGCAAATAGGAGTGGCAATATCATACGCTATTATCCTGGTAGTGGTAGTAGTAGACTGTTAGGCTATTGGTAGCTAGTACTAATGATATCGGTAGTGGTGGTCTCACAAAACATCTCCTCAGTCAAGGTCAAAGCTAAAGGGTCAGAGTTTTATTTCACCTCTCTAGCCACTGGGAGCTCTCTGTCCTCTAACTCTCATTTCTTTATCTTTCTCCATCTCTATTTTTCTCTTCATTTGTCCCGCTCTTCTTTTATTAGATTATTCCTTTATGCCCTTTTCTACTCTTTTTGAAGTCTCGCCACTCTTGTTAAACGCAGGCCCTAAGTGTGAGAGAGAGGGGGCTGGAGGGGGGGTAGAGGAGGAGGAAGGGTGGGGGGAGGTGGGGGTCCACATTTGGGCCAGAACTGTTCTATCCATTGAAGATGGCAGCTAGGAGGGGGGCTGTGCGTGGCTTTTGGATTTTCGACCCCTCCATTTTATTTTTGTGTCTTTTTTTACGGGGAAGGGATGCGAGGGTCCAGCTGGTGGTGTGAATGGCTGTCCAAGGTGACTGGATCCCAATAAAGAGGCGGTCGGCCTGGCTGGGGGCCTCCTTCCCAGCCCAGACACAGCCTTTATAGGCCGGCTTACGAGCCTGGTCCTCTATTAAACCCTGGCCAGCCTGCGCTGAGGAATTTAGGGCCAGGAAACAAGAGAAAAACAGGGGGGTTTGGGAATGGGCATGGGGAGGTGAAGTTGGGGTGACTGAAGGTGAAAGTTGAAAGGCATGTTAGAGGGGATTGCTTTGGGGGCTTGGTCTGTGAATGTGGCTAAATGTATGGGTATTTATGCTTGTTTGACCATTTATAAATGAATGTGTGTGTGTGTGTGTGTTTGTGTGTGTGTGTGTATCTATGCAAATGTCTGCTGTTTGTTGTGTGTGTGAAGTCAGGAAAAACCCAGTGCATTTGTAGTTATATTTAGTAGCTAGATGGTGCATAGACCTGAAATGGTCAGTGATAAAAAGAGAAGAACCGCACTCTTAGAATTAAGGTGAATACAAAATAAAGACGTTTTCCATTTTAGACATAGACAAAGGTTTCGCTCATCTGGGCTTCATCCATGTCGTCTCTGTGTTAAAATGTTTGTCTCTGTGTGTGTGTGTGTGTGTGTGTGTGTGTATTTGACGTTGTTTATTTTGAGGGTTTTCATTGGCAGCAGTTGAATGACTGCTTGTGGCACAGCAAATGGTGTTATATTGTGTGCCATTTTCCCCCTGCGAGACAGAAGGGAGGGACAGAGGGAGACAGCAGAGTCTCATAAACACCTTCAGTCTGTTTGTTCAAATGTGGCTAGAGGTATACAAGCATGTCGGGTTGGGCAGGCATTCAAATTAAAAAAGACACACACACACACCATTCAGCTGTCAGTTAGTCAGACAGTCAGAGGTATGCTCCACCCCCCACTCCCCAGAAGTGGAGACGGCAATCAAATCTCATCTGCCAATCAGCATTTTATCAGCATAGCCATCTGGCCATCAGATAATTGTGTCTCTTTTCCATCTTTCGATCTCTCTCTTTAAATTCAATTCAATTTAAGGGCTTTATTGGCATGGGAAACGTATGTTAACATTGCCAAAGCAAGTGAAGTAGATAGTAAACAAAAGTGAAATAAACAATAAATATTAACAGTAAACATTACACTCAGAAGTTCCAAAAGAATAAAGACATTTCAAATGTCATATTATGTATATATACAGTGTTGTAACAATGTGCAAATAAATAAACATAAATATGGGTTGTATTTACAATGGTGTTTGTTCTTCACTGGTTGCCCTTTTCTTGTGGCAACAGGTCACAAATCTTGCTGCTGTGATGGCACACTGTGGTTTTTCACCCAGTAGATAAGGGAGTTTATCAAAATTGGGTTTGTTTTCGAATACTTGGTGGATCTGTGTAATCTGAGGGAAATATGTGTCTCTAATATGGTCATACATTTGGCAGGAGGTTAGGAAGTGCAGCTCAGTTTCCACCTCATTTTGTGGGCAGTGTGCACATAGCCTGTCTTCTCTTGAGAGCCAGGTCTGTCTACGGCGGCCTTTCTCAATAGCAAGGCTATGCTCACTGAGTCTGTACATAGTCAAAGCTTTCCTTAAGTTCGGGTCAGTCACAGTGGTCAGGTATTCTGCCACTGTGTACTCTCTGTTTAGGGCCAAATAGCATTCTAGTTTGCTCTGTTTTTTTGTTAATTCTTTACAATGTGTCAAGTAATTCTCTTTTTGTTTTCTCATGATTTGGTTGGGTTTAATTGTGTTGTTGTAGTGGGGCTCTGTGGGGTCTGTTTGTGTTTGTGAACAGAGCCCCAGGACCAGCTTGCTTAGGGGACTCTTCTCCAAGTTCATCTCTCTGTAGGTGATGGCTTTGTTATGGAAGGTTTGGGAATTGCTTCCTTTTAGGTGGTTGTAGAATTTAACGTCTCTTTTCTGGATTTTGATCATTAGCGGGTATCGGCCTAATTCTGCTCTGCATGCATTATTTGGTGTTTTACGTTGTACACGGACGATATCTCTGCAGAATTCTGCATGCAGAGTCTCAATTTGGTGTTTGTCCCATTTTGTGAATTTTTGGTTGGTGAGCGGACCCCAGACCTCACAACCATAAAGGCAATGGGTTCTATAACTGATTCAAGTATTTTTAGCCAGATCCTAATTGGTATGTCGAATTTTATGTTCCTTTTGATGGCATAGAAGGCCCTTCTTGCCTTGTCTCTCAGATCGTTCACATCTTTCTGGAAGTTACCTGTGGCGCTGATGTTTAGGCCGAGGTATGTATAGTTTCTTGTGTGCTCTAGGGCAATGGTTTCTAGATGGAATTTGTATTTGTGGTCCTGGCAACTGGACCTTTTTTGAAACACAATTATTTTTGTCTTACTGAGATTTAGTGTCAGGGCCCAGGTCTGGCAGAATCTGTGCAGAAGATCTAGGTGCTGCTGTAGGCCCTCCTTGGTTGGTTTCTCTTTCTCTCCTATGTCAATCAGCGCTGCCCCCCCCCCCCCCCCCCCTGATCTCTTAAAATATTTGCCTTTGAGCTGCCCTCCTGGGTAGAGCTGAAAGGCTGGGCTAGAGGGGGGTTGGACTTGTTTGTTGACAAGTCTCCCTTTATCAGTTACTCCATATTTATACATCAGGTTAACTTATTTAGGGAACAACACTGTGGTCCCATTGAACCCCAGTCGTGTATTGTACTTGTATTGTACCTTCAAAGATGTTTGGGGGCTTCAGAAAGAAATGTTGACATGCAGTAAACCTATTAGCTGCAATACTGAAATGTGCAGTAAGTTAATGTATGTCTTTATTGCCTCCCTACTCTCTCTCTCTCTCTCCCTCAATTAAATTAAATTCAAAGTGCTTTATTGGCATGGGAAACATATGTTTACATTGCCAAAGCAAGTGAAATAGATAATAAACAAAAGTTAAATAAACAATCTCTTTCTTTCTCTCTCTCTCTCTCTACCTTTCCCTCTATCTGAGCAGCAGTAGAGACCCAGAGCACCAGCTCTGAGGAGATGGTGCCCAGTTCACCCTCTCCGCCCCCTCCTCCCCGCATCTACAAGCCTTGCTTTGTGTGCCAGGACAAGTCCTCTGGATACCACTATGGGGTCAGCTCCTGTGAGGGCTGCAAGGTGAGACACACAGAGAGACACAATAGACTCAGTCAATATATACAGACAGGATGTATAACCCAAGCAAATACATGATATATACAGAACATGCATACACAAACAAACAAGCCATGAACAGTCAGACAGGGGCACACATACAACCTACCATAACTGTTTCCATGCAGTTGATCCCTATTCTGAGACATTAGAGGATGTAAAGATGCCTGTACTGCCCTCTGCTGCAATCTTTATCTAAGGACAAAGGCATGGGCTCAAATATCCTCCTGTAGAGTGAGACATCTATGCTCCGGAAACAATGTTTTAATGGCTGATTTCTCTCTCTCTTCTACTCTCTTGGTTTCTCATACTCTCTCTCTCTTTCTTTCTCAGGGATTCTTCCGGCGCAGTATTCAGAAGAACATGGTGTATACCTGCCACCGAGACAAGAACTGTCAGATCAACAAGGTGACCCGTAACCGCTGTCAGTACTGCCGGCTGCAGAAGTGCTTCGAGGTCGGCATGTCCAAAGAAGGTGAGTGCCAGTGCCACAGATGGATTACATTACAACCAGTTTTGTCAATCCCTGCTGGGTATGTTGTGCTGAAGTGTAAAGGTGTGAGGGGATCAGAGATGGTTTGAATACAGAGAGTGTGTGAGAGGCAAAGAGTGTTTTGGAAAGGGATCTCAGTACAGTTCATGTCTGTGAGTATTTGGATAGCACTGAAATCACAATATGTCCCCTCTATAAGTGGACATCCTGAGAGGGAGGAAAGAGTGAAGCATATGTTACTTTATCAGACGACAACAAGTACCACCCAATCTATCACTCATCTTCTCTCCCTCCTTCGTTTTAATAATCATTTAGTTGGTGCTTTTATTTGTCCTATTTCACACATGTGTGAATTGGAAATGTGTTGCCTCAGAGAGTGGGGTCACAGCCAGGGTCTGCCATTATCAACGGCGACCCTGAAGCATTTAGGATTAAGTGCCATGCTCCAGTGCACATCGACAGATTTTTCACCTTGTCGGCTCAGGGATTCAAACTAGCGACCTTTCAGTTACTGGCCCAACACTCTAACCGCTAGGCTACCTGCTGCCTTCTCCCCCATGCAGCAGTGCGTAATGACAGGAACAAGAAAAAGAAGGATGTGAAGGAGGAGGTGGTGTTGCCGGAGAGCTATGAGCTCAGTGGAGAACTGGAGGAGCTAGTCAACAAAGTCAGCAAGGCCCACAAAGACACCTTCCCCTCACTCGTCCAACTGGGCAAATACACTACAGTGAGTCAAGTACACACACATGCACATGCACACGCACGCGCACACACACACACACACACACACACACATATCTCAGCCCTCTCTCTCTGTGTCTCTCCTGTGTTCCAGAACTCCAGTGCAGACCATCGTGTGCAGTTGGATCTGGGGCTGTGGGATAAGTTCAGTGAACTTTCCACCAAGTGCATCATCAAGATAGTGGAGTTTGCCAAGCGCCTGCCAGGCTTCACCACCCTCACAATCGCTGACCAGATCACACTCCTCAAATCAGCCTGTCTGGACATACTGGTACCTAAACACCTCTCCCTCCACCTCCACTCTGTCTGTACTCCTCTCTCCCTCACTGCTCTTTACAGTGCACACTCATCTCTCCCTCCACCTTCACTCATCTCTCCCTCACTACAATCTATCCACTCCTCTCTCTCCCTTACAATGCTTTATCCATACTCCGCTTTCCCTCAACACACTATACACACACATTGCACTATCCACGTCACTGTCCTCAGTCCTCTGTCACTCCCTACACTTTACACGACCCCTCTTCCTCGTCCTCCCTTTTCATCATCCTTGTTGTCATTATTCCCCTAACCTCTCTATCTTCTCCTCTCCTCACTCTCAGATGCTGAGGATCTGCACTCGCTACACCCCGGAGCAGGACACAATGACCTTCTCAGACGGGCTGACCCTGAACCGGACCCAGATGCACAACGCAGGCTTCGGCCCGCTCACAGAACTGGTGTTTGCCTTCGCTGGCCAGCTGCTGCCTCTGGAGATGGACGACACAGAGACCGGCCTCCTCAGCGCCATCTGCCTCATCTGTGGAGGTACTGAAGCATTGGCTGTTATAGTGTGTGTGTGTGTGTGTGTGTGTGTGTGTGCGCACGCATGTGTGTTTGTCTCAATATACTAAGCACTCTTTCCTCTTCTCTTTTTGTTCCCATCTTTTTTCCCCCCTGACCCTATGTCATTGGCTGTTTACTCTTTCTCACCTTCTATCATTGTTTGTTGGCTCTCTCCCTCAGATCGTATGGACTTGGAGGAGCCCCAGAAGGTGGACAAGCTGCAGGAGCCCCTCCTGGAGGCCCTAAAGATCTACGCCCGCCGCAGACGCCCCAACAAGCCCCATTTGTTCCCCCGTATGCTGATGAAGGTCACTGACCTCAGGGGCATCAGCACCAAGGGTCAGTACAGATAAGGATGTAGTACACAGGACAGAGACACGGCACAGCCTAGATCTCTATTCTTAACATAGGCTATAGCCTTAACACATTCTGACACATAGATCAATATGCATGTATGGTAGAGCCTCAGACTCTTGCTTTCAATCAGTATTGATAGAGACATAGAGCCCCAAATAATTAACAATTTATAACTAACTGATTGTACGTCGCTCTGGATGAGTCTGCTGAATGGCTAAAGTGTAAATGTGAATGTAAACTCATGTTTATGCGTGTCTCTGTCTCTCTCTCTCTGTGTGTACTGTAGGTGCGGAGAGGGCCATCACTCTGAAGATGGAGATCCCAGGCCCCATGCCTCCTCTGATCAGGGAGATGCTGGAAAACCCTGAGGCCTTTGAGGACAGCAGCGACTCTGGGGACAGCGCCTCTGCCGCCGCCCCCCCTGCCATCCAGGCCATCAAGAAAGAGAGAGAGGAGGAGAAGAGCCTGGAGGAGGAAGATGAGGAGGACGATTGGGGGGACGATGATAGGGAGAGAGGGGTGGACAGCGATGGGGAGCCCTGGGGGGAGGCTGCAGTGGCAGCAGGGGGGTCCCAGAAAGGGACGACTGGGAGAGCCCAGTGAGAGACATAGTGATGCACTCTGACCCTCCTACTCCACCACCCTCAGACAGACCAACACTCCCTGTCCTAGCACACCAAGTCATCTCCCTACATGAGCAACCCATCCTATAACAAGGGTCTTTGCCAAGCGCTCACCTCTGCTGTTACACCTGTTACACTACCCCCCCATACATTTACACACATACACACATACACATACATACTGTATCCCCGTAATAATTCCCCCTTTGCTCTAGATAGACAGAGAAGTAAAGGCTCTATATGTAGTGAACCTACTCTGACACTCCAGGGTGAAACTGGCCCTTTCTATAGGAACAGGTGGAACATGTAGTCTGGGAAATAAGAGAAGAGAGAGAAAAACAAGCACTAAATCTCACTGAGTTGGGACAAGGGCCATGAGAGATCACTGTGCCAACCATAAGACTGACCATTATGTTACTTTACAATGCTGTCTCCAAACAAACAGAAACACAAGGAAATGCTAAACTGAGTGGCAGCAGCTTGAAGTGGTGGTCTATAGGAAATGCACTCCCCCACTTTCCTTAAGGGCTACGCTAAGTGCAAGAGCAATGACGAAACGACAACTGCAACAACCAAACTCTTAATGTGGAAACCATTCGCCACAAATGCCTTTGAAAATAATTTCCAGTGACATTTTACAGTTTTTTTCTTCTATTGTATGATTTTAGAAAAGAAAACATGAATGCATTCATATTTTATCATACTGTATATTCATGTGTGTTACTATGAATTTTTCTATTTGATTGTTGTTTTGTATGTTTGTGCTTCAGTCATGCTCATGATTGACGAGCCATCTCAAACTAACGATAGATTCTCAATCTGGCAACCCAACTCGCAAACTGGCATCTCTCTTCTGATCTTGACATTGTCTGTGCTTGTGACTTCACTCATTGGGACAGAGCTTACTATAGAGCTCTGCTCAGTGAGACAAACAAAAACAACAAGGATTTGACCAATGGGCTATGGCACATTACAAGCTATAGTTCTGAGCTACACATACAGTTCATAAACACACAAACACACTAATCCATGTGTGCAGGGTCAATTGTATGCAATTTAATGCCAATGCTTTGACTCAGGGTGACTCTAGAGAAGGACCAAATCTCACCAGTGGTAATGTTAAATAAAACCGATGGTCCGCCACACTCCCCGTTCTCTTCACCGACAAGCCATTCAAGTGGGATCTGAATGTGAAAGAGGACTCTCTTTTAGTTGTCATTTCCTTTTGTTCTCAGTGGAATGCCTGGTAGTCTACCAGGGGGATCAGATATCTGGGTGGGCAGAATCCAGCACATAGCTGAGTATATGTGATAATGAAAGTAAGTGTCTGCTCCCAGCCCCAAGCCAAGGCTCAGGTGGTGTGTTGATAATAGTACAGCACATTGAAAGTAAGCCATAATGAGCAGCGATATGATTAAGGATACATGGACTGGATTACTGGATCACTAACTAACACTCACCGGACCAGTTCAGTCTTAGGTCTATTCGATTAATTCAATAGAATAACTCAAATGTGTAGGTCATAGTTACACATATCATTGATGTCCATGAAATTTCACCCTCCTACAGTGATGATCTCGTAGATGAATAAGCAATATTGGAATTATATGCAAACCCATGAGAGGGAGATAGCCTTGTATGACTGTGTGTGGGGTATGTAGATGTATTTGTGTGTGTGTGTGTGTGTGTGTGTGTGTGTGTGTGTGTGTGTGTGTGTGTGTGTGTGTGTGTGTGTGTGTGTGTGTGTGTGTGTGTGTGTGTGTGTGTGTGTGTGTGTGTGTGTGTGTGTGTGTGTGTGTGTGTGTGTGTGTGTGTGTGTGTGTGTGTGTGTGTGTGTGTGTGTGTGTGTGTGTGTGAGTGAGCGTGAGCGTGTGTGTTTCACGTTACTTGTATAATGTAAATTTTGTGTTTTGTGCTTGCTTTACCATAGAGCAGATGAGATAGTATTTTGGAAACTGTCTACATACATAAACTGGGTTATAGGAGTTTTAGTCCATAGTCCAAGAACATGCACAGAACCATATGGTTGATTTTCTTACTACAGTCATATAGAGAATTCTTCCTTTGTAAAGTTAATCTATGCCAGGACTCTCCAACCCTGTTCCTGGAGAGCTACCCTCCTGTAGGTTTTCACTCCAACCCCAGTTGTAACTAACCTGATTCAGCTCATCAACTAGCTAATTTTTAGAATCAGTTGTGCTAGATTAGGGTTGTGGCAAAAACCTACAGGATGGTAGCTCTCCAGGAAGAGCGTTTGAGAACCCAGATCTATGCAAAGAATTGTGTAATTCTATTGATGTTATTTCACTTTTGATATACTGTACTTTACACATGTAATAAGAAATGTTTCTGCTGAATTTGAGATTTAGATAACTTAATCCTGTTAGAATGACTACATTTCATTATCTAAAAGTCCACAAGTGAGATATTCCACCCAGTTCCTCTATAAATGTATCAAGCATTACTGTACAAGATCTTACTTTGATAAAGGAGCAGGGTATTAATGCTCATAATAACTCAAACCCCACATCTATAGTATATTCAGATTGCATACCGTCGGCACCTTGTTGTTGGCCTCTTACTATGACAAACAGACACAGCAGTGTGTGGATTTATTAAAATCTGTGGTTGTAAAGCATTAACATGGATCTTAGGCTGAGTAAGACTTCCAGTGTATGGAATGGATTTGAAGTTAATCCCCAGTGTGCATTGAGACCATTAGTTATTCTGAAAGAGTGATTTACGCCTTCATGTCAGCAGCCACTGCACAGGCCTACCTCTTACTCAGTACTCAGCCAAGCCCTCATAGAGAAGGGGAAGAATTTTCCTATACAGTCAGTCACACCCTGATGCATAAACCTCAACCCTTACTGCAGCGCAGTTCACATACTGTAGCTACTGTAGTGGGATATCTGACAGCACTCATTCAAAACAAAAGCCATATTTACTGTGTTCTCTGTGTGTGTGTGGTCTCAGAATGCTACAGAGGACTCTCAGCCTCTGTCTCACAATATTAGTCACATTAGCTAAATATATTTGATACCATGGTCATACCTCTAAATAAGATTTTCAATCAGGTTCATTGGACTCCTGAGGGGCTTCTTGGAATAGCAGTAATGAATAAAGGACATTTATTAAAATATTTGTTCATTGTTTCCTTTTTATATACGGTAGTCAATGTTTTGTTTTAAGCTAAGCAGATGTAGCAAAAAGCCATGGTGCTTGTGCATTTAGCAAGCACTTAGCAAGCAACCAATATAGAAAGAGATGTAGATGTGTGAATCTGTATTTTCCTAGGCATATTTTAAGAAAATGGGTCATATATTTTGGGCAAAAGCTTTTCAAAGACAGCTGACATTTAGTAGTGATTGTTTGATGGCGATGATAACTGAAAATAGATTGGCCAAAGAAAAAACAATTACACCAGTGTTATCATTCATGAAGGATCTCAATTAGGTCATTCATTTGAAATATGTGTGCTATTGCCTGAGTTTGTATTTTTGTGGCTCTTCACAGCTTTTATTATTGATTATAAGCGCTTCCTTTTTCATGCTTGAGGATTGTTGGGTATTTTATGAGATAAAGAATTGCTTTTGAGAATGTACTATACTTATTTTAATTTGTATTTTGTTCTTATTTGTTGGTGTTACTTTTCATAACCATAACCTTACATTTTCAATTTAATTTGTATAAAAAAAAAGGATACAACATTTTAACTCAATTCAGGGATTTCAAAATCAGCCTAAGATTTGTATTTCTGTTTGTGTCAAAACATGAAATCCCCAGTTTGTGTTTGTATGCTCTTTTGAGATAGAATATACTGGTAGGTTATGTGTTTCTGTTGTTTTTATACCTGCTGTCCCTTTCTCAAAACAACGCTTTGTCTTTGTTGTCACTTTTTTTTATTTTCATTGAGGCAGTTGTCTCTTCATGTACGTTTGGATGTTGTTGTTTTTTCAAATATTTTCCTTTTATAAATGAACTTCTCTTTTATATGTGTGTGTTCATTTGTATTATAAGTGTACTGTATCACCATGTCATTTGCATCAATACAAACGGCATACCTAGTAAAAACACATGGACACAAGGGGGCGATGTAGTCATGCCATAGCAAGGTGAATCTACTGCTATTCTATTCGGAGTAAATGAGACAACATTAGCATGTTCCACATTTGTGGCTAAATCACCACACTTTGATTACTAGGCTACTGAGCAGAGCCAATCTGAGTGGAGCTGTACTGCTGGAACCTTGCTGGAAAGGGAAATGTTGAAAGAAAATATCTGAGCCAACACAGTACTGTAGGCTACAGTTCAGCAATATACTGTAGTGTGACAAGGCTATTAGGGTATTATCAAACCAAGTCATTGAGTTGAATTGGCCATGCCCTATTGGCCATGCAATTACCCGTTTTTATGTATTTATTTTTTATTAGCTGAATTTATCAGTGGCTATTTAAACAAATCTGAACCGTGGATCAAGGTTACTCCTGGCCCATAGATTACTTTAAAGGTAAAATAAAAAATACAATACAAATGTGTCCTATAAGGCAGCAGAGACCCGAGTTGTATGTGCAAAATTAATTGTTTATTACATGGGTTCGAACCAGGTGCCCTAAAGCCTAACCTAACACCTTAACTGCACCGGCCACATTGCATATGCTAGCGTTGCAAAATAAATGTACACATACGTTATTCAATAATTTCATCCACACTGCTCATTTCTGTGATGCCAAACGCTAAAATAGAACTTGGTTTTATTTGAGACACTCAACGCGTTGCAAGTCCCGCCACTCCCATCTCCTTATTCGTTTTCAGGAGATACAACCCCCCTTATTCGTTTTCAGGAGATACAACCCCACATGGTTGCTTAAAAGATGACAGAGGAGAAATGGGGCACTTTTGAGTGGTAAGGCTAAAGCAACCAACTGTAGACGAAAGTCGAGAAGTGAAGTCGGGGGAGGTGCATCTGCTATAGCTTAA